AGAACCATGAGAAACGGCCCAGAACCCGAGAAATGGGACCCCTTCCTTGCCCGTTGATTTGAGCATTGATGCGACTCTCATCGCTGTGCCCTCTTCAACACTACGCTCTCTCAGCTATCTAATCACTCGCCACGTATTGAACTACGGCGAGTGATCAGATGATCGGTGGGCGGAGATCGCCGGACCCGCCAGCTTTGAGGCATGATAGGTCGCCGAGGTCAAATTTTTCCATGCGAATTGCGCGTCAGTTCGCACCCTCAGGAGGTCCGTGGGTCCCTCAACTAGGTCAGTTTCCCTTTCTTCGACCTTCATTCTAATCGTGAATTCCTCCTTTAAGTTTAGGGACCTTCAATTTCCATATCGTATCCTTCCGACAAGTCGGGCCATTCCCGGGGTTTGCCGTTAATGCGCGACTTCCTCCATCCAGCACCAGCTTCAGATGCTCTTCACCATCTTTTTTCAAACTATCGATAACAGTCAAGTAAATTATGAGAACATCAACTATACATTCTATTTCCCACGAAGACGCCTGTGAAATGGCGTTTGTGGCTAAGGTCTCGACAAGAGAGTGGTGTCACGTGTGCTTTTTGATGTTCTTGGTGCAGTCCCACGGTGGTACCACCTACCAGGTCTGGCATTACGGCATCTCCCACGCAGGAACAGATGCAGGTGGCATGTGAGGCGATAAGCAGCAGGTGAGCATGTATTGTGGAAACTTGTGAGCCTTGCACTAGCTCCGCCAATCTTCCGTACAACATTAGCCTTGACTCTTTCCCCATTAGAGATGGAACGTTCGACAGATCTGAAAGGGATACGTTCTACTTTGTCAAGGTCTCCCTTTCGCTCTCGTTAGATGCGAAGCACTCATCGTAGTCGCAAGTCAAAACAAAGGAGTGTTGCAATTTTGCGGCGAACAGGGAGCGGTTGCAGCAAACTCAGAATCAGAACCTAGAAAGCCGTAATACCTTGAAACCGCTCCGCCCACCGAAGTGTTGCCCAGTAGCCGAAGTGCTCGCTTTTCATTTCAAGAGAGCCATCGCACTTCTAGCAAGCCGTCTTTCCAACTCTTTCTGAATGCGTTGTCAAAATCAAGCAGATTTTGTTTCGACTACACGCAATTTTCAATTATTTATTCAATTCCACATTGAACTGCCTGCTCATTCTTGGTCGCGACATCGATTCCATGCAAAAATCTTGGCACGCGAAAAAATGTGCCCAAATTCTGACGGATTTCAGAGTTTTTCCACGACTGGCGCACCACGCAGCACCACCATCGGGAAGATAGCTGAAGCGCTTCTGTGAAGAGATTCCAAGCTGGACGAGATGTGTTCTGAGCGGAGAACCACCTGCCCGAGCTGTCGAGCTGAAAACCTTTCATTCATTCGGATGATTGATTCCATGCAGTCATTAAAACTGTCAAACCATGGAAATAAGTTACCTGCTAAACGTTTTCGAAGAAGTGGAAACATGTTTCTGTCAAAGGTAATGAGTACGATTATTATAGGCGGATTTAGCAGGGGATAGGAGTGCAAAAAGATGCGCCAGCTGCGAACATAGCAGGAAAAATCGCCACAACCCATACAACACAACGATTATAAATGCAACTACAGGACAGGCCAACACGATTAACCTCCCCTTCAAAAAGCGAGAAAGTGTCGGGTGCAGACCAAACACCACAACTGACGACGGCCTCCAAGTAAATCTGGTTAGAAGTTGTTCATAGTGATAGCTGATTTGGTAAATGATAGTTGTAATTAGTGACAACTGATAGAATACAACTGCAACAGGCTAATCATTTCATTGGCAGAAAACATTACATTTTGTGAGGCCGTCGTCACTTGTGGTGTATGGTCTGCACCCGACACTTTCTCGCTTTTTGAAGGGAGGGTAGTTACGGACGTTCGATATAAAACGTGCTTTCAAAATGAAAGCCGAGCATACCAGCGTACATGTTAAGAAGTCCACTCCGTTCTGAAAAGTTCAGCATGGGAACTGTTTTTTCATGGCTTTGACAGTTTTAATGACAACACAACCATGGCAGTAGCACGAAGCCCTTAGAGGGGGCAGTTTTGGAGTGGTGCGATTTCACATTCTGAACTCAAATGCAAGCTCCGGAATCGCTTGTCAATTGAGCCTTACCCCAAAGAAAATGCAGTTCTGCGCAAACGCGGAGCATGTACCCAACTTTCGCAATAATTTGACAAGGTCGAGGCGCCAGGGCACAAAGATGCAGCATTGGCCCCCATTGAGCCCGCCCACAACTCCATGTGACCTTTCAATCAACCACATGGAAACGCTGAACGTTGAGTTGCTTTTCGGAAGGTTGTAGGGAAATATTTAGCGGATTCCAAGCTGCGAAGTTAAACACTAAAGCCTACTGCAGCCCTACGATCGCTATCGAGAATCATTGTCATTTACTTTAGTGAGCATCAAAAAATAAGATGAGAAGAAAACAAAAATTACTGAGAACATAAAAATAATAAGAAAACTAGCCACAAGCAGTTTTCTATTTCGAGTTTTTATGACGTGTCGATTGATGGCATACAGCTAGCAGTCGCTGAAAATGTGACCGGACACGTACTTCCTTCTCCTTCTGCGGCGCGTCATGTCGGTGTGCCGGGGGGGGGGGGGGTGAGGACGACGTAAGCAAACCAGCCCTTTTGGCGCTTCGGCTGGGACCGTATGCTGAATGTTGGGGAGGGGATGGAGTCCCCGACGGTGGACGGACCACTTCAACTCGGTCCTTAGAACCGCCACAATTTGGTGCTTACCTCAGAACTAAGCCTTAAAGAGAGGACGGGTCCGTCCCCTCTCCAAGGCTTAGTCCTGGGGTGAGCAAACCAGCCCTTCTGGCGGAGCTGCTGGACCAGCTGCACCACTTGCGTCAGTACTCTCCTATCGTACCAACCGAGTTGAAGTAAACCGTCGACCGTTGGGGACCCATCCCCTCCCCAACATTTCAGCATACGGTCCCAGCCGAAACGCCAAAAGGGCTGGTTTGCTTACCTCTTCCAGCACACGGACCTTGTGATTCGATTGACACGCCCAAGGCCATCGAGCGCCCTTGGCGTTGGAAATCGCAACACCTCTCGCCGCGAAACGTGCACTCAGCCCTCTCCAACTGGCTGTCGTTAGTGGCGCATATATTGCGATTGGCTGCTAATATCGTAGCGCTCGCATTCGGCAAAAACGTTCAAAGCAAAGCCAAGCATAAAACTAATCAGTGATGTTCTTCTCGTCATTATATACGACTTTGATCCCATTTCGCGAAAGATTGCCGGGTCCAGAATTTAAAAAAAGGGTACTGAGCCCGTTTTCAGAGTCCTCATCATTCTCAATATGTACGACGTAAATATGAATGATGACGATAGATCCCGAAAAACTCCCATTTTGGCAGCTTTTTTCTTTATATAGATTTTCGCCCACCCTGAGTTTCCAACTTCTAAGCACCATATCTGAGTACATTTACAATATAGAAGAAAATAACAAACAAGGTTTTGTAGAGCGGAAGAACTACTTCATATGATATACAGTCGATATCCGAAAGTTGGGGTAGGTGTGTCACCGGAAGTGACGTGCACTTGATAGAAGTGCGTGGATAAGCTGTTGCCAGCATGCTTTGCTGATAGCCAGCGATGTATGTTGGAAGCAGCTTATCCACATAGTTTCTATCAAGTGCACGTCACTTCCGGTGACACGCCCTACCCCAACTCATCGATATCGAGTATAAAATGTGATATTCCTGTAGTACTATGTTATTCATGAGTTTGTAGCTCGAGAGAAAAAACGCTGTTTTATGCACAACCAAAGACCATTCACCGATGCGCACTCACTTTATCGTACCCCTGTCTTTAAGTGACAAATGTTCTTAATCTTTCTTAAGACATCAAGTGTATGGTTTTTATTACGTAACTTGCATTACTTTCAAAGTCTAGACCGCGTCGTAGGATCTGCGTCAACGAAGAAATAAGTAAAAGCTTCATTAGGGGCTTTTATAGTACGGAGGAACTGTCAGGAAATTCAGAAATTGATCTTGGGATTTTTTTAGCTGCACACCACCACTGTGCATCCTCTCTAAAGAGTTTTGTAAATAGAGGAGAATTTTCAAGAAAAAGGACACGTGGGAGCTGCATAGAGAAAGTTTACGCGACACCAGCTCTACCCTGGTGGTTATGAATGACCGATTAGCTGTTTTGCAGGTCCCACAACTGCTCTGTGCGCTATTTCAGGCGTTCATGCCCTCAGAGGGACATTCAAACAGGGCATTCATATACCGCGGGTGGTGATACTAGGGACAACCCAGGAGAGGGGAAAAACGCCAAGGAGAACAAAGATTGCAGTTCTGTAAATGGCTCATCCAGTTCAATGTCCCCCCCCCCCTTGACGACAGGAGCGCCCCACTCCGCTTTCAGTGGCGTATATATAATCGTAAAACCATTACTCAACCGAACCAATTAGCAGCAGGTAGAAATCGAACAGACTCGCGTTTCTGCGTTCAGCCGGTTTGAGGTTGTGCTCAACTCGAATGGTGATTTTCCGTGCTCCAATCGCACAAGGGAGAATCATTCGCGCGCAGCGGCGCACGTGCGGTTGCCCTAAAAAGTTCGGTTTATTCTCTCGCTTCGGTTGCGACGGGTAGTTTGTTTGCCTTCTTGTGTGTAATTGCTGTGTCGAAGTTCGCTAGCTTTTTGTATAACGTTTCTATCTCACGATGAATGAGCGGCTGTTTTCATTCATTAGAAGTGGAGTGCAGGGCATCATTGCACTCTATCTTAGTGGAAGCGGAGTTCGGTTTCCGTGTCGTTTTTTTCTGTCTCAGCGAGCATTGGTGTGATTTTACATATATTAAGGTTGGTATGCTGTGTTTGAATGGCTGAATGTTTTAGGATTCGAAGAAAACAGCTCATCTTGGGCTTGCTGGTTTACCATCATCGCTGAAGAAAGTGGTTGGAGGGGTAATTGAAGTGTGTGCGTGCGTGTGAAGAAGAAGAATAGAAGCGATGTCGGACGGAAGTGTTGAACGTGCTGGAAGTAGGCGTAACGAGGAAGAGCTCGCAAGCAAGCAACTCAACATTCAGTACAAAAGATACTATGTGGACGTGAAGCAGAATAATCGAGGCCGTTTCATCAAAATCGCCGAGGTGAGTTACAGGTTATTGTGCCTTCTTTGATATTCATTGTGTATGACTAGAAGAGCAGTAGTGATATCCAATGATGGCTTCCTCACAAGACTGCGTGCTTCTGGAGGGTACTTTCTGCGGTAGTAAACGCCATTTACATAACGTCCGTGCGCTGGAAGTATTGAATGGACCTCGCTTGTTTACTTATGCAATAAAATTCATTTTCACTTTCATTATCTATTCACGCTGATAAGCACCGGCACGTTCTCATGTAACACTGCGTTCATATCTGCTAGAAGATCGGAATTAGTAGAAAAGATTGGGTATGCGGTCAAAAATAGGCGAAGTTCATAAGTCGCATTCGCATATGCGATAGGCCATTAAGGCTGTAAAAAGAAGGTAAGTATCGATTGGTTGAATGGGCGAGTAAAGTTTCTCAAGTATCGACTTGTTCGCTCCGTCCGCTTAGCGATCGCATCGCCTAATAGCCCACTTCGACCGTTCGCCTAATCGATACACATCCTTTTTGATATAGCATGATCGTCTAACTGTTTTCTTGCCTGTGCACCGAAACCATAAATATGCTTAAGTTTTTCATACACTCGCCTCATGGCTTAATAGCCTAATCGCATATGCGATCACGAACTATGAACGCAGCCATGGGAGAGCTGGCGAATAGAGTGACGCCGTGTCAGGCCCTTTCATTGAAAGAATTTTCATTTCGCTCGCATGACTCCTTTTCGTGTGTCACGGTTGTTCAAGCTTCGTTAAGCTGAATGCGCCTAGGCTCGGAGGTTGGAAAGTAAACATGATCGTATTAGAACAGAAGAGACTCCCATCTTTGAAAACCATCGGTGCACAGTTTTTATGGCTTGAAATCGCTTAACAGGAAATGTATGGCCTGCTGTAGGAATCAGATAGACGCTTGAATTCGACGTCGTACTGACACATTCCTAATAAAGGACCTTTTATGCATGTGGCTTGTGTCAGATTTTGCGTGCAGTATCACAGCGATTTTTCCGCGCGATAGGCGCGGTTCTCTCGATTTCTGGAATCGCGTAAATCGCTGGAACCAATAGAGTCGCTGACATCGTAAAGCAATGTCACACAAGCAAACTTAAGCTGACTTATTCTTTTCCTGACCCTAACCGTAACTCTGACGCAGCCCTGGCCTGTCCTTACCTAACCGCAAGCTTGTCCTGTGGCAGGGTTAGGTACAGGTCAGGGGAGGATACGGTTGGGTAGGAGATAGGTTTCGAGAAGCCAGTTCATGTCCGTCGTGAGCTTGCTGTGCGGTTTCCGCGATTAACCCATTTTAGCAATCGCGAATCGCGTAGTCTGACACCGATCTATGAGATTTACCTACTTGTTTTTGAAACGTGTAGATAGCGTTATGGGCGAATTGCTGTGGTGAATTTCTAGTTAGTTGTAAAGGTAAACGTTTTTGGATCGACGGTGAATCGTTTGAAATAGAAAACAAGGATCTGGGAGGTATCATTGTTTCAGATGGGATCGAACTACAAGTCGCGTCTTGTGTTGACAATGTCAGCGGCGGTGCAGTTGTGTGAACAGTTGGGTGAGATGATCAAGTTCAGCGAGACTCTACCGGAAGGTGCAGAAGCGAGTGCGGAAGTAGGTCGTCGAACTATGCGAATGATCTTGTTCAGAGTGCTTTACTTTCAATTTAGAACGGTGCTCTCAAATCGGAAGTTTTGGCTTTTGACTCGAGACGTTACTATCTGGATCTGAAAGAGAACCAGCGCGGGCGCTTCCTCCGCATTGCGCAGACTGTTGCCAATCCTCGTATGAGTCGCGCTCAGGTGAGCTCGCGTAATGAACTGCTCAATTGGTTCTTCATATTTAATCTTGTTTCAGATTGCTATTCCAGCGCAGGGAATGATAGAGATGCGCGACACTCTTCACGAAATGTTGGAGAAGTACTCAGAAGGTTTCCTAAACGATGGAAATAGCACTGTTAGTGCCAATATTTTTTCATGTTTTCAAACCATATTGAGCACTGAGATGCAGGTTTAAATATATGAAAGTTAAGGATGCCACAAAAACTAAGCAGCTCACTGCGGACAATAACAAGACGTTTTATTTTGACATTGGAAAGAATGACCGCGGGACATTCGTCCGCGTGACTGAGGTAAATTCATTTTGGTGAAGCATGTAAACAGATCCTACTAGGTAATGTAGGGGGGCTCCGCCCCGACTGGGTTCATGATAGATATGTGCAGTATCTTGCAACCACACAGACTACTTTGCAAAAGCAAATTCTGTTGAATGAAACTTTCCTAAGGGTTCAATGGGATTTCACTGATTCTGTGAGGCTAATGAATCCTTTTTTGAATTAGTTTTTATGCCTCGGTTAAGAGCTTATTCCAGGCGTTTACCTATTTTTAGAAAAAAGGAAGATGCTTGTAATTTATAGGTGAAGCAGGCCGGCTGGTTATCGAACCTCGATAACT